CAAATATCAATTAAATTAAATTAATTTTTTTAGTTAACATTTCACATATTAATTCAATTTTATTACAATTAAATTGTAATATGAGAAAAATTAGATTTATTCATTCATAAAAAAAAAAAATAATAATAATAAGAAATTACAACAATTATTGCCTCGCAAAAAACCTTACTAAGAAAAACTCAATTGCGAAAAAAACTTGGTAAGGAAAAAAGAGTGCAATAATTGATAGTTAATTTACAAATTACAAAATTACAATTCACAAAACAACTAATTTGATGGTTGATTAGGACCTTTTCTCATCTGTATCATCTAAATTACAAAATTGAAATGAATCTATTAAAATATCGTCGACAATCTCATATTGATCCTGACGGCGTGATTGTTCTCAATCTCGAAGATATATGAGGACTTCAATTATTTTTTGTGAAAATTTAGTCCTCCTTTCATTTAAAATTCTTCCACCTGCATTAAATGTTTATTCGGATGAGACAGTTGAGACAAGAACATAGAAAACATCCAGGGCAAGTCTTGATAGTATCGGAAAATACATTTTCTAGTTTTCCAATATTCTAAGACATCAAAGTTGGCTCTTTATTGTGAATCCTGCTGATAGCAAGTCAGGGGCTGCATGGAGGACAATATATTCGTGGTTGACGCTTCTGAAGAGGAAGTTGTGCTTCGGGTTTGGGTCTTCTTCTGCTCATTAATTGCACTCCAGGACTCAAAGTCGAAGTCTTCATTTGTGTCTTTTACTGGTGCTTTCTCGGGTATCGCGCCTCTTTGTTGGTTCCATACCTACTTTCATATTGCAAATATACCTCTCCAAGACACTTTCTTATCTCTCCTAATTGATTGGCATACACTTCTTCTTGTAAATTTTCACTTAACATGTCTAAAGCACTTTTTAAACCCGAAAATTTAATCCTAAGATCAAATATGGAAGCTAAACAATAAAGAAAATGAATGGGTTTCTAATATTTTTTAAATTTAAATTCTATTGCTTCTATTGGTCTCGCTAAAATTTTATTGTTTTTGTTTCGAGCAAATAAATTTGAAATTTTTAAAATTATATGTATTACCAATGGACTAGTACGATCATACACACCAGAAAATTTTAAAGTGACTAGATAAAAGGTTTTAAGAAAATAATGAAATTTTTAAACTATATGTCAATCACTCACTACTAAATAATGAGGACCCCTCTTATTTGCTATAAAATAACTAATTAAATTTGTATAAGGTAAACATGAATTAAGCATTAAATAAGTACTATTCCACCTAATTGGTATGTCTAATGTAAAAGTTATAGGAGACAAATTTGAAGTTGTACAAGCATCTTTAAATTCAAAATTTCTTCTACTACTACTAGTAATCCAAGCTACGCAATCATTAATTCTATCAATATTATTTCTAACTCCTTTCACACCACTTTTTACAATTAAATTAATAATGTGACATGTACAACGGTGGATATGAAAGAATTAAAGAAGGAGAATTGGAATTTGAGAATATGAATTGAAAATTGCAAAACTAATAAAAATTAAAATGAGAGCAAATTTGACAACAAAACCGCCAACTTGACGGGTTGGACAATTTTTTTTTTAAGAAAAAAAATACCCTGCTGGGTCGTCAGATTGGCCTATGAAAGCCCAACCCGCCCAGTGAGAGATGCCCGGGTTGGGTCGGTCTCTGGTTGAGGCGGGCTAGGTTAGGGTTGACCCACCTAACCCGACCCTTTTTTTTCACCTCTAGGTACGTCCAAGGTGGCCTGAGGGGTTGTCTGCCATTGAACAACATGTTTGATATTTTACTATTTCTTTTTTTTTTTTTTTTTTTGGGAGGGGGAATACTTTCTCACATGCATCAACATCGATCCTTGATAACCATCTTGGGTGGCAGTGAATAGAGACTTTTGGGGTATTACATAAGAGGTTTTGAATTCAATTCACCTTGATTATTAATAAGGGTGGCTATTAAGATTTATCAAACTATTAACTTCAAGGCCTTGAAGATGAGTTGAAGTGTACACAAGCTCGCTTGATGATTCCTTAATGTGATGTTACAGTCATTCACACAGATACAACTTTTCTCTTCATCGTTTAACATTTTTCTTGGGATCAAAATCAGTGATAAAAATAACAATAGAATATCCTTTGCTTCTCAAGCACCTAAAGTTTGCCACTATTGGTAAACTTTGTACAATAATTTCCGCTCCTATTAGTAAGTCCAGGGTGGCCTGAGGGGTTGTCCGCCACTGAACAACATGTTTGATGTTTTAATGTTTCTTTATCGGTGCTTTTTTTTTTTTTTTTTCAAAATATAAGAAACTTGGGAGAGTTTGGTTTAAAGGGGAGTGTGGAATGATAATTATGAAAATACAGGTCAAGAGAAGTTGACTGAGATACTTGAGAGAAGTTGACTAAGACACTTGACACTTGAGACCTGGTTAGTAAATTCGCTTTTTATACGTGAATTATATGCCCAATCATATAATTTGCGTATAAAACGTGAATTTCTGTATTCTATAAACACAGTTGAATTATACGTAAATTATATGTTTTAGCTGTATAATTCATGTATAATTTACATATAATTCGATCATATTTTTAAAAATAAAATTTTGTTATTTACTAAACCAAAACGGCATCGTTTTAGGTGAAATTTGATCAAAATGATGTCGTTTTATACTCAGTCTCTTAAGCACAGACGTCAGTCTCTTTTTGACGCCTTTTCTTCTCTTTTCTGCGCCCGCTTTCTTCCTCTTTCTTTCTTTTGGCGCCCTCTTCTTGCTTTTTCTCTTTTTTTGTGCCCTCTTTCTCTCTTTCTTCTCTTTTTTGGCGTCTTTACCTCTCTTCCTCTTCAACTATTCTTCAACAAATACCACTCTTTATTTTATCTTCTTCTTCTTCAACTTAAAAGACAAATAAAATTATTTGTTTTATTTAATAATTGATCACTTTTATAATATTTGTAATAATAAACTAAAATATTATAATTAAAAAAGATATAAATCATATACTTATAAAAAAAATAGAGAATAATTAATTCAATAATCATAAAAAATATTAAAATCAGAATTAATATTACCGTATATTTCAAAACGTATTATTGATAATATATCGTATTAAACCCATATATACCCGTATCGTATTTTTTCCGTATCCGAATTTTAAGGCTGAATTTTTATAAACGTATTTTTCACCGTTTGTCATATCATTCCCGTACCCTTTTTTTACCATACCCGTATTTACTAACTATGCTTAAGAGAGCTTGGTTTAAAGTGGAGTGTTAGAATATTGAGTAGTAGTTTGTAAAGTGTCAAAATATAAGGGTCGACCTGTAATTAACCAAAGTGATGTCGTTTTGGTTTAAGTTGTTCGCTAAGAAGCAGAGATGTTAAGCTGCTTCCTTCTTCTTTAAGTTTGCTGTCTTCACCTTATATAAAAACGTGAAGATCTCTCATCTGTAGCAATTAATTCAGCTTTTACAATACAAGAAAGTAACATAGTTTCTCCTTTTTCTCTCAATTTTGCTTCTTAATTGTAATCTTTTCACTTCTTCCACTCGGATATTTTTCCTTATTGTTGACAATGTAAGTGATGGTTTTTTTTTGTAAAACACTCTAACACTTTCATTTACGTTTTAGTTGGCTCTTTTCATTTTTCATTTTGGTAATTTCTACAGCTTCATTGGCATATTTTTTGTTGGCAATTTTGTGGAAAATGGACACTGATCGATCTTTTAAACTGAATTTTTTTTTATCAGGTCGGATGCGATTGTGAATGTAGGCGATGTTACGACAGGGCAACTTCCTGCTGGAGAACATAGAAATGATGAAGCGAACTTGAGCTCAGTAAATTCCCAAAGAAATCAACGTTCTGCTCCTAAAATTCAAGCCAATGCCACCGTGGACGTTATTACTAAACTTCTTTTAAGTTACTTCCCCTTTGTTTGGATTCCTTTTCTATACCACATTCTGGAGATGAGTGATGAAAAAAAGTGCATCGTAGTTGACCGGGTCGCTGCATATCACGCTTGTGTTCTCATTACCATAGTTGATATCTTACATTTCTTCTTCTATAGACGTCATCTCTTCAAACTGTGTAATAATTTACAAAGAGATGCAGGAAACATGTGTTGCTTGTTCATTGACATTCTCATCCTTCTTCCTGTCCCCCAGGTAAGGCCTACACACACTTTAATTTACAGCAACATTTTCTTTCTGTCCTCATGTATTTTCCAATTTGTTTTTACGCACTTTCCAAATATATTAAGAAACTTTTGCTGTAAAGATCGATAAGACTTCTAGCCTAAAGCGCATTGCTTTATTTTTTTCAGGTTCCTATAGTTTCTTGTATATTTCATTATTTTGTAAGATTGACATACAAAAATACCAATTTATAGTCAAATTATGCAGCGAAAAATAAAGCTCAAGAACAAACCCTTTGACTTGACAAACAGAACACCTAAGTAATATTAGAAAATAAGAGAAAAATAACAAGAGATGATTTAAGTTATGGTCACATTTAGTAAGATGAGAACACTAATTTATTCTCTCATCTCTCTCGCTCAACAAAGATCATGAGTGATTGTTAATTTCTATAAATGTTTGACGGTGTGAGCTAAGGGAGACGTCACCGTAATCACACCCTGTCGCTAGTAATATAATCACTACGTAAAAGATCCCCTTTTTGGTGTTTGATCAACCCTCTACAGATTACTGATACATTAATTCTTGTCCACTCTACAGTGTTAGTTTGGGAAGTTAATTTAGTACATTTGCTATACATAATTAAGGTAGTCATGATCAACAATTTAAATTTTTTAAACTTTGTTTATAATAAAATTTTCCAACATATATATAATTTCATTTCCCTTATGGACTCCAAACTGTCTAGGTGATGGTGATATATATTATTTCTAAAAGAATGAGTGTCTGGATAATTTGGATCGCACAAATCGTTCTAGTACTGCAGCGTATGCCAAGATTCTTTCTATTAATGTCTACATTGAGGAGAATATGGGGGGGCAGAGAAACATTCGTTCGGTGGTCCTTGATGTTCTTCATGTTATACGTGATTGCCGGTCATGTAAGTTCAATTTCATAGATTAGACAAATAATTATTTCTCTACTGTGTGTATATATTGATCAACCGTGGACTTGCTTGCGTTTTAGTTATACGGAGGCTTGTGGTATAACGGAGCCATAAACGCAGAGACAGAATGCTGGAAGGAAGCCTGCGGAAATCATACTGGATGCAGTACTGATATTTTCTCTTGCAATAAAAGTTTGGAACACATAAAATTGCTAAACAATTCTTGCTCTAGAAATACCACGAAATATGATTTTGGAACATTCCTTGATGCCCATCGTTCTGGAATGCTGCTGGTGGGGACAGATATTATTACGAGGATGTTATTTTGTTTCAAATGGGGCCTGCAAAATATCAGGTTTGTGCATATTCATACTATGATTTTATCCATTCTATAGTAACAAGCATTTTATATTTAATATATACGTTCCTTATGCAAATCTAATTTTCATTTTTATATAGTTTTAGATGTATGAATATATAGTGTGTTGAAAATTCTATATTGAAAGATTTTGACTTCCATTTAATGGCACCGATTAAATCATAAAAGATAAATTTTTCTAATTTTCAAAATGAGAGTTTTATTGAAATTTCATATTTTACTGTTTACCTATAGGTGATTGTAAACCACTAATTAATACAAATAAACACGATTCATATGCATTAGAGAAGAATTCTATAGTGCATATTAAGTAAATGTAATACAATAATTTATTTCACTAATATCTAATAAATATATTTGAATTAAATTTTTTGCAGTAGTTTTGGTCAAAACATCGGACCAATTTCTTCATTCTGGGGAATCATATTTGCAATTGCTATTATCTTTACTGGAGTGGTGTTGTTTTTCTTCCTCGTTGGTAAATTGCAGGTTAGTATCCGTAATTTTATCATTGAATGAAGCAATAAATGAGAACTTGGATTTCTATCCGACTGTACACATCGTGAAACAGTTATGTCTGCAAGCTGACACTAAAGGATTTGCCAAGATGAGACAGAAGTCACGAGAGACAGAGCAGTGGATGCCTTTCAAAAGACTAAATGAGGATCTACAATCTCAGGTGAAGAATTACCATTGCGAGAATGTTCTGTCGAAAACCAAAGGTGTAAATATAGAAAATGTTTTCAATGGTCTTCCCAAGAACCTCCAAAGACAATTGAATCAAGAACTCTGTGTAGATCTGCTCGAAATAGTGAGTTTCTTTGACTTTGTGGGGCTACTAAGAGTACACGGGTATTATTAGACTAATATATTGTTGAACCCTTACCTATTAACTTAAACTTTTAAATGGAATGACAACTTAAGGTAAATGTCTAAATTTCGAATCCCCACATTCCACTTGATAAAAAAAGTAAATGAAAAAAATCCAAATTTCATATGAGAGGACCTATTATATTGATATAATGTTGTCATTCAGTTCTCATTCTCGTTCTTGTATGTATATGAATAGGTGACACAATTTGGAAATTTGAGTGAAGCAGAAATGCAGCATCTGTGTGATTGTGTAAAGCCAGTTTTCTTTGGTCAGCGCACTCGCATTATCCGAGAGGGAGACCCAATTGATGAGATGATCTTGGTGGTGCAAGGCAAGCTATGGACCTACACTTCGAGGACTAATGGTCGCAATCACAGAAATGAGCATCTAAAAGATGGCGACTGCTGGGGAGAAGAACTTGTGGATTGGTTTAATGCTGATCCCTGCACTTCCAACCTTCCTATCTCAACCAAAACTATTCAAGCAGTTACAGACGTTGATGCCTTCGTCCTTATGGCCCATGACTTGAAAGATATACTCCGTAAACATCATATAGTTCGTGGTATGCAGCAACGCTTTCGTTACTTACGTTTAAGAAGGAACTCAGAAACCAACTCTATCCAGGAAGCGAACTCCAGCAACACAACACAATCTCAGCAGTGAGTTCAGATTGATCTTTAAACTAAACTAAATAATATTTGGTTTTGAATTTAGGCTTAGGTACAACAGAAGGAAACAACCCAACATGTGAATTATGGTGTTCTTGAGTTGAAAATCAAAATCTTTATGAACACATTATTGCCGTTCATTGCAGATTCAAAATCTTAATCCAACAGGTCTCCAGTGTTATTGAATTTTGTTGTCTTACTATACTCTATTGTATTGTATTAAAGTGTAAACAACATAGATTTATATTAAGGAGTAATAGTGTATAATTGGAAGGGACACAGAGCATCTTCAAATATAAGTTAGCAGAAAATGACTTGCTTTAACCTCAAGGAATTGGCCTAGAAGTGTAGGAAGTTTTCTCGTTTCATTAAATTTTTAGGTTAAAACCTTGGGATCATTTACCATATAACGACTTACATTGTTTTTTAGACTTATAAGATTTTCAATATTCTTAAGTTAAAACCTTGGGACCACTTACCATATAACGACTTACATAGTCTTTTAGACTTATAAGATTTTCAATAAATATTGGAAATTAGTTGCGTCTACACTCCAATAAAGGTGGCAATGGATTGTGTCAGTACTGCTCACAATTTTTTTGGATCCGTGGGTTTAGGATTTGACATGTGGACTGGCACAACACAGCCTATGAATTTAAAAAAAAAAAATTAATTTTTTAAAAAAGCCTATGCGACACCTAGGCCAACCCACGAAGGCACAACATGACACGGACCTACAAGCCATGGGCTTTGAGTTTTGGTTGTCTTGACACGACCCATGGCACGGTGGGCCATAAAATTTTTAACCCAAGATGACATGACCCATCGCCACCTCTACACTCAAGACACCACCATTACCCCAAAAAAAAAAAATTGACCTCAATTTAGTTCAAATCAGCCTAAATAGGAAGAGAACTAGTGAAGAAGCTTGAAATAACAATTGGTTTGGTTTGTGTATTTATATTTTAGAATGGTCAGATCCTTGTAGGTATAAATTTCTTCATACATCAAGAAGCCAATGTGCTATACGTACCTGATTGACTTGATGGTTTAATCAGATTAATCTGAGTCAAGCTAGAACAATTCTTTAGGCGAATTAACCAAGACGCTCTATATAAACAAGTTTTCTTAAACAAGTTTTCTTTTGCGTCAGCATCATGACCGGCACCATAACTGGTCGTCCAGTCCAATTTTACTTGGTCTATCTCCATTATTAGTTTGGACAACTGTTAAATTACTCATTAGTTCTCTGGACAACTGTTAAATAACTCCATTCCTCCACCAAACAAGCTTTGAGTTGGATCTTCATAGGCATTTTAGAATTTTAAACCATGTAAGAATAAAACCCTTATAATTGGACTTCCAAGACATCAATATTGTTTATTCCTTTGTTATTGAAATAGTTCCATTTGTCATATTTTCTTCTTCCTTCGTCGACATTGATGTGGGCATGATCTCATAAAAGTGGTCTTATATGTAACCAGAGAATCCTCCTACAATGTTTCTCAATCCGCAAGATGTTTAAAACCAATGTAGTTCCCCGACGTCCAAGTGCAACACAGACGCTGCCCTGGATAGCGAGGGGAACAACTTGTTAGGCTCCACTGTAGATGTTGCTTCACAAAGAGTAAGCAACATTATTATCAAAATCAAAACTTGAAGCCTTATAATATCAACAACAAAACCCAAATCACATAACATAAAACCAGATTTAAATGGGAGTAAAAAGAAGCAACTCAGTCCCTTAGATGTTCAAAATGAGTTGCGATCATATCCGCAAATCATTACAGGTCTGTAGACTCATCACCGTTGCTCAATTACTCCCAAAAGTAAAAAATTAGAGAAAGTAATGTAGTTGCTCAAGTGTTCTCCCAAAATAAAGGGTAAAAAAATTAAGGGAGAGATATTAAAATACAAAAAACAACACGATTAATATTGCTTCAAGGGAACGAGTCATATGGGAACTGAATGTATCCACACTGACCAGATAGTGAAGCATCAACATCTGCAGTTACAAACCCAGGTAAGAATGAGAAAACCAACTGAAAATTTACAATCTTTTCAATGATCCTTTGAATAATAAAGGGTTTTTAAAAAAAAAAAGGCTGCTTAAACCCTAGAAGAGATCTAAAATTTGCAGAGTGAATGGTTCAAAACCCTAATCGCCTGAGCGTCCAAACGGAAGGCAGGGTGGGTTTTATCTTATAGAGGGATAAGTGGATGATCGGACGGTTTATATGCAGCTTATTTTGATGAACGGCTAAGATTTCATGCTATTTTGTTTCCCTAATTTTCCTTTCGCCTAGCGGAAAATACAAGAGTACCCTCAAGTTCTTCTATTTAGGCTTTTTATAAGCTTATTCCGTAATGGGCCATTGAGGGCAAGTCCATAGAGTTGAAGCCCAATTCCGTTTTGGTCCATTTGAGGATTTGAAATTAGTGGGTCTTGGTGAACAGATCACCCTTTCCACATTTGGGGTCATTAGAAGAAGAGCTTGACAAATGACAATCATAATACAAAAGAACACAAATGAAGCATGAATGTGAAAACCACCCCTCGGTGGTCGGGTGGCAGAATAAGGACTCTTAAGTGTCTATTACTCAAGAAATCTTGAGTTCGATTCCTCTCGATTGCTAATAAAAATGATGCACCCACTGCAGGGTTTACCTAGTTGTTATGAATGTCAAGTAATTGCTAGATTCTTCAAATCATAGCCGAGTTTGAGGATCATCCAAATTTATATATCTTAAAGGTGATTTGAAAAACCAGATAATCAACAGGTACATTTGTTTATGTTTTCATTCTCAATGTTTAGTGAAAGTGGGGAACACTTCTCTTGGTTTTTTTCTAAAGTTCGGATGCGATAATACAAAAGCATTATGTTTCTTTAAGCTCTACCCCATCAACACATCCTCTCTTTTACAAAAAACACACATAAAATATAAAAACTTTATATTGCTTTCCCGCGTATGATTTTTAATTCAATTTACACCAAAAAAATGTCAAGGGGTGCGTTTGTTTTACTATCCTATCATACCCAAAATAGATATTTGATTCAATATTCTCAAAATTTAATCATATTATATTCAACTCAAAATATTTTTTTTAATCCCCTAGGTTTGTTAATTTAATTAAACACCCTCAACAATAAAAGTTTATAAATTGACAAAAACACTCCCATCCACCCATTAAATGCTGGTAGCCAACCGTCGGAAGGTGGCTGGCCGATCTAGCATTTTCCAACCTGATCCATGATGGATTTGGTTGGAAAATGTCAGATCTACGGCCAAAAATTTGGTCATTGACAACTAGATCTTTGACCACATCAACGACTAAATCTGGCATTTTCTGATCAAATCCATCATGGATCGAGTCGAAAAAGGCTAGATCAACGCACAATCGACCAAATCCAGTAGATCATGTGCCATTTTGGTGACTTCTGACCACCCTCTAGCGATGGTGGCTGGCTGTCGACAATTAATAGATGGGTGGGGGTGTTTTTGTTATTTTTTTATGTTTTGTTGTAGGAGGTGTTTAGCTAAATTAACAAATATAGGAATTTTTTTGATCAATTTTTAAATCCTATTTTCGTAACAATAATTCAATTCAATTTTTTCAAAAATCCTACTCAAAATACTCTAACAAACACACCCGTTTTGTTTCCAAACGTGTATTATTTATGAACATGTCAAAAGTGTTTATTTTTTCATTTTTGGGAATTAACATATCAGACGCATATTTTAACTTCGAAAAAATTTAATTTGAATTTACATTTTTTTTATTCTTTTCAATATTTTCACAAAACATTAATTGAAGTTGAACTAGTTTAATAATTACAACTTTATATTATCTTTGCTGGGCCCTATAAATTAGAGTTCCCACTTCCCACCATGCAAGGCCATGGTGGCCCATATAAAAAGAATACCATCTCTGTTTGGACCAGAGCACAAATATATTGAAGCCTTTTAGAAACGATGAATTAAGGAGTTAATTCTTTTTAGTCCCTGTGGTTTCAGTTTATTAAGGTCAATGGTTCAAACAGTATTTTTGGTCCTTCTTGTTTTAAAATACTACTGTTTTAGACCATTAACTTAATAAAAGGTTAGTTGATTGTTAAATTTATGATAAAATGACAAATAGGCCCCTTTTAGAAAAAAAATGAAAATTACATACATGAACAAAACTAAATTAAATAAACACATTATATACTATAAATTCAACACACACAAGCACTCTCTCTCTCTCTCATCACACACACACATCCGCACGCGCGCGCGCGCGCGCACACACACACACACACACACACACACATATTAATTATCTAGTTATTGTCCTGATATAATTATGTAAGGATCATACTTAATAGTTAATTAACCTTTTATTGAGTCAAATGATTAATATAGTTATATTTTGAAACGATAAGGACCAAAACTTAATATTTGAAGCGATTATCCGTAAACAACAGTGAACTGAAACCATAGGGAATAAAACGAATTAACTCATAAATTAAACATGAAACAACTATCCTTAGTGTTGTTACGAAAATCCACAACAACTAGAGATACCCAGTTAACCACGACGGAACTGGGTATGATGTGTTCTTGATTATACATAATCAGCTAAGTGATTGTGTTTATGCCAAATAACGAAAGACAGAGAATATTTTTAAAGTGGTTTAACGGGTTAAAACTAAGCCTACGTCCCCTGTTATCTTATTATTTATGCCTCGATTACACACAAGATGACTACAAGAGGAGAGACTGTAATAGCGAGCTAATACTCTTCCTAAGTGGCCTCCTATCTTTGAGTGTATTTTTCTTCCAGGATTCGATCTCCCCAAGATGGAGATGGTACCTCCCTTTTATACACGACATCTAACAATGTAGATCTGAGTCAAGTCTTTACCTATATTTAAGCTAGAGTAATTATGCTTGAGAGTGATGCGCTTATTCGTTAAGTCAATTGTTGTGGGAGTGACATGTGGGACAATCCTT